GTGTGTACAGCCAAAAGTAGCCATAGCAGTTCGCGGTGTTTTGTTCACGATTTAGAAAAAAATAACAATAACCATCACAATTAGTGTTACCAAATCTCAAAATGAGTGACGACAAAAAGGTATGCTATCGTTTCTATGCGGAAACTTGTTGAACATGTTTTCGTTCTAATCCTGTCGACCCATGACGAGGAAGCCGAAAGTGAGGTGTTTGGGTTGCCGGATTCGGCGAACTGTTCCTTATTACTTTAACGCTTTACAACTCTTTTATAATAATTAACCGCGTGCAATTCACCTACTTTTTCATTATGTTTGAAGGTTTTTAAGGTTCATGTGGTTAACTTTTTGTCTAACTACCAAACTGTTTCGTCCTAACCTTATAAACCTACTACCAATTTGCTTTTCGGCTAAGAAACAATTAAAAGTAGTTCTGCTGAAAACGCAGAGTTGTTTGCCTAGGCTTGTATCTTTCTGGTGAAATATTTCGTCAAATATATTGTCTCACTTTTTGGAGCTGATCTGATTTCTTATGGGACCCATTAAACTACCACTTGTGGGTGCGATTGTGTTGATATTGTGTTCTATTAATTTCGGTACTGAAAAATTCCTAGGCATGAGTTTCTCCTGATTTATCTTTTTTTCTTTTCTAACAGGACAATATTAAATCTGGCTCTCAGGAAGTGGAGTATATTAATTTGAAAGTACTTGGTCAAGATAGTGCTGTTGTTCAATTTAAAATCAAGAAAAAAACACCTTTGAGGAAACTAATGCACGCCTACTGTGAAAGACAGGTATTTGAATTCTGAAAATTACTGATGTGATTAGAGACTCACGATTGTCAAGAAATATGTTTCTGAAATTTTTATTTGTTTCTAGAATTTGGACTCTAAAGTGGCACGGTTTAGGTTCGATGGGGAGCCAATCAATGAATCAGATACTCCTGAATCATTAAAACTAGATGAAGGTGATACTATAGAAGTGTATCAACAGCAAACAGGTGGTGTACTGAGACTGATTATAAATGACAAATTGCATTTTGAAACTGACTTGTTACTCTTTTAATTAATGTGGTGTTACATAAGATCTACCTATTATTTTCTATTTGTGGTGTTCACAGTTCTCTGTGAGTAAAGTTATTTTTTCATAATTGTAATTAGAATCCTACAAAATGTGTACCTTTGATAATGTTTTCCCCTTCCCTTGTAATGTGTAATGTAAGTTAAATTGTTTTTATGAAGTGAAGTTGTTCATATGTGAAAGTCTGTTTCATTTTTTACAATATTGGACTCAGACTTATAGAGAACAAGTAAACAACTGTAATATCTATTTGACTTTCAAAATGTAGAGACAGGTATTCAGAAAAGCATTCCTCATCCCTTTATTATAAACTGAAAATTGTCAAGTGTCCCATGGATTTGTTTTTTCTTAACATATAATTACATAAAACACACCCAAAACACAGTTTGCTCTCAAACATCCTAACTTAACTCTAAAAAAACAATGTACAATCAAGAAAATTTAAAATTAGGGATGGTTACTCCTAACAACACCAGATGCAGTTAATAATTCAGGAGTGCAGTTACACCTCTTGTGCCTAGTATGACATATAAAGGGTGGCAAATAAAACTCAGGTTGACCATCATTTAGGTGAAATTGTTCAGCATCAAACCAAGTCAGAATAAATTTTACTTATAACTAGCAGACATGAACCATGAGCAAACTTCAAAAATAAAAACTATTATCTCCCACACGCACTTTTTCTTTTATGTTTGCAATCCCCCACCCCTAATTATTTATAGACTCAAGTCCATATTATGTACAAACTTGCAACAAAGACAACTGCTATTGCCATTATCACCATGTAAAAAAAACTAGAGTGATTGTTGGTTTCAGCAACTTCACCAAGATTGCGCCCACGGTTCTTCCGACGGCCAGTCCCTTCAATTTTTTTCTGGAAACGTTCTGCTTCAAGTCTAGCTTCTTCCTCCTCTTTGGCTCGACGCCGCTTAGCTTCTTCAGCTTGCACCTTCATTACATGCAAAATTTGGAGTTCAGTAAAATTTGAAATACAAATATAAATAATCAAAATAGTAAACATGATCTTTTTTCATGGGATAGTACCTTTTCTTTATGACTTTTCTGTGATTGACATGTTTCATCACATACAAGAGAAAATTCCAAAGACCTCCCTACATCACAGCGAACCTCTTTCTTTATCCTGCGACAAGAACAGTAGACTTTTGTTTTCTTAGAGCACTTTTCTGAATCTGGGCAATCTCCAACATGGCATGTTGATGTACATTTATGTCCACAAGGAAACTGTAAAAGAAAATATTTTGTAGTTTGAAGGGGTAGAAAAAGATGTAGAAAAATACATATCCAAATGACACAGGGTAGTTAAAAAACAACTGGTATATTACACTTTTTGGACAAGGATTGCCACATGATGTGAGGGCAACAAGATCCACATTTGGTTGTGTCCAGTCAGCACATTTAAGATAAAGTTGAGTTACACCACAATGGCAACGTGGGCGCAATGTAATGCGACAGGGTGGACACGGTGCTGGATGGCATGGGAGACGACACTCATGAGAGCAGCCTGCAGGCCTAGGCAGTTCACATGCGCTTTCACATGTTTCGCAGTTACCACCATCCTTAGGAAACAGAAAGTAGTACAAGATTAGAATTAACAGTAGCTAATTACAAGTGAACTTCTATGAAAGTAATTAAGAAGTCACCTACATTGATTGGATGACACTCTAGGCTACAAAGGTGGTTCCCGCAGTTCAATGGTTGACCACACTTCTTTCCACATGACAAAGATTTTGCTGCATGACAAGGCATCACTGATAAATCATGGCCACCCAAACATATTACATTCACCGGTTCCTAGACAAAGAGAAATAAAATAAAGTAGAATCAGATACCCACGAATCAGAATTACATCTTCTCCTTTGCAAGAATATTGGCAAGGTTATCACTTCACAAATCATAAAAAGTTCTAAAGCCTTTGCATATTTTTTTTCATTTTTTTAACATGCCCTGTCCAATTTGAACCAGGTGACTGATTAGCCCTGCCTACTTCCATACTAAAACTGAACCACATGCACACCCTCCAGGCTTCCTAATGCACATAAGCATGATTGGCAAACCCGCCCGAGCGCAGGCATGCGTGCCAGTACAACAAAGAAAGTGGGCGGCGCGAGTCAGCCACTTGGTAACATCTTAAGATATTTTGATATTGTTTTCCCCATTGCTTCCCATACCAGGAATATACTGCATTTGAAATTGTTACATTAACCTGAGACACAAACTGGATAAATAGATAGACTAGATAGATTTAATATATACCGAGCAAGGAGGGCAAGGAAGATTGCGAAGAACAAGCTGGGGAGCAGCAAGTTCCCATGGGCCTGCTGGAGCTTGCTGTTGTACTTTAACCCAGACAGAAGAATGACAGGGTTTGGTGCATCTGTGCCCACATGGAGAATGTACAAAGTTGCATGATTGATTGCATGGTGGGCAGTGACCAAAATGGCAAGAATGATCTTCTCGCTTCTCATGGTGACACTCAGGTGGGTTCCTACGTGAAGAGTGAAAAATTTAAGATGGGAAATTCTATCAGAGTTCTTTGAAAGATAAATTACTAATAAATGCACTTAATACTCACAAACACAGTCTATTACAGCGAGGAGCTCGAGTTCTTCTTTGGCGCCCACATGGCACATGTATTACAGTACCTCCACAGTTACAACTTACTGATGCAGTTACAGGACAAGGGTAGCAAGGTCCTCGATGACAGACTGATTCACATTTGTGTTGTCCACATGTCAATGTGCGACCACACAGCTTTTCACAAGGTGGGCATTGCGTATCGCAGCACTAAAATATAAAGTGTTTTAGTTCATAAAAATTTTTAGAGTTAAACTGCCCAAGAAACATAGTGCAGAAACTGACCTTGCGATTACATGGATGTCTGCCACAATCTTTATAACGTTTACACTTAGTTTCACAAAGAAATTCTCTTGCACAAGGCAACTCTTTCTTGTGGAGGCCACAACGGCACAGTTTGATGGTTACCTCAAGACACTGCACGTATTTTAAAGATATTAATTCGTAGCAAATAAGCTAAGATTCAGATATCGGTATAAGATGATTCAGTTCAACTCACTGTTCCACATTTATCTCGGTGACAGCGTTCAGGGCAAGCATGAATACCACAGTTCAACATCCGTCCACATGTGTCACCACATGGAGGGATGTCTTCGGTACAAGGCAACATGTAAGTTATTTTTCCACAGGGACAAGTGCGATTTTGACCAAGGGGACACAAACCACACATCCCAGAGTGGCATATCCTTTGGCAGAAATGATTGCCGCATGGTAGCTTTTCCCCACAAACCTGATTTTTTTTTAGGCAAAAAAAGTTAATAAAATATAAAACAGAAATAAAAAAAGCTTTTTTTTTTTTTGAAGCTGCAAACCTTGTCACAATTCCAAACAGGAGTGGAACATGGGCGATATTGTTTTTGAAGCCCACATGCACACTTTTGTTCGCTTTTCCTGGAGCATGGTTCACATGCACCAGGGTGGCAGGAGGACGTACAACGATGACTTCCACAAGACAAAACTGCCCCACATTCATTGCCACATGACCAAGACTTTTGACTGCAGCGCTGTGGCTTAGGTAACTCTTTCCCACAGTGGCATGAGACACGAACTGTCTTAGGGCAAGGTGGGCATGGACCTAAAACCAAAATCCAATACATTGTAATGGACAGTTTGGTCAGCATTTAATTCCTTCACAACTTATTTTGAGTAACATTAAAAATAATAATTCTTTCTTTATAAAAAATAAAATGCAATATCTCAGAAAGACAAATATTTAATTGTCCAGGAAGAAATTTTAAATGTAAATAAGAAAATGACCGACAAAAAATCAAGACAATACCTGGATGACACAAAAGTAAACAAGTATGTCCACATGCAGGCTGAAGGGGTCGTCCGCATGTTTCGCCACATGAATGGGGAACCAGCCATGAATGATGAGGTGGATTCTCCTTTTGACCACAGAAACAGAAGTACCTCTGAGGCACAGAGTCGGATTCATATTCCTTACGACACTTGGGACTGGAATATTTTCAAAAGTAACAAGATTATTAAAATATCTACAATTTACTTGTCAGTATAAATGTGCATCACACAGAAACAGGATACAGACCATGGCCAAGTAAGTTTTGAAGGGTGCTTGTCTCTTGGGAGATCTTCTAGAGCCTGCTTTTGATGCAAGAGGGAATCTTTGGCCCAGCGTTGTGTGCAGATTAGATGAAGAAAACAAAAGCAAGCAGAGCAACTCCAAACCTGGATAGATGAAAAGATAGAAATTAATTATGCAATATTTGATAGAAGTGTACAGACACAAGCGGAATTACTAACTGGATCAACTCTTTTCACAGTGCCAATACATATAAGACATGTTGCTGCACCGGATTGAAATAACTCTTCCAAAAAATATTGAGTTCGACCAAGATCTACATTAGTACCACCCAAAGCTGCATAGGACTGAAGTACTGCTCCTGTGTGAATCATAATGCAAACAAAATTGTATGTGCTGTTTTATAGCTGATGAGGACAATGTCAAGTATTGTGAGAAAGCTTACCTACAATTGGATCCACTTGAACGTCCTCCTCTTCGTCGGAGGACTCATATTCATGGACCATATGTTTCTTAACGGCCTCTTCCATTTTCAACCTTGCCTCATCGAACTTAGAGATACTCTTTGTTTCATGGCTCTGACTGCTACCGGGTCTTCCTGGGGCCCCCCTTTTGGAAGACCCTTTTCCCCCACCATTTCTAGCCAAACTAGATCCACCAGCAGTGCTTCCTCTACCCTCTCCTGAGCTACTTCTTTTCTGGTGCCAAGGGTTTGGACGGTTGCTACCGTCTTTCTGTTTTCTATCCATGGTGTGTGAGTTAGAGAAGAATGTCTGTAAAAATAGAAATAATTAATAGTTATATTCATACTACATCAGATACATATTCAAAACGACAATTGTATCAAAATTACGGAGAACTTAGTATTTCGGTGAATTTCAACAACTTTATTTAACATTATGAAGGCAATGAAAGAGCCCATATTCATCCCACCAGCATAACCTAATTATCAAGAATGTGAAGGACAGGAGCAAAATTTAATGAAATACGAGAATAAATTATTACCACAAGAGATGGTCTTTCAATCAAATACGATGGCCAGGAAAGTTGTACATCACAGCAACTACACTTAAAACAGACGCGACGAAGTCGGACAATATAAATGACATCGTAGCAGAAGCAGACGCCGACGCCGATATTCGCGACGTGTAGAGCTTTTGGCAAAGAACAAACTTAAAAAAAAATGTATGAAAAGGTTCTAAATAAATTCAAATTATAAAACAAATTAAAAAAGAAAGTAGGTTTTTGACATTATGGTTTATTTCCCTACCATACAGTAACACACAATGTTAGGTTTATGGCAAAAATAACAGATTTGTTGGGAAGCATTGAACTGCAATAGTTGGTGCACCTGTTAATCGAAACCTGCAATCGATAGAATCGATACAACTTGTTGTGTTGTAGGAATGTTGTTGTTGGGTGTTGTGTTGGGTCTGTTGTTGTTGTTGCTGCTGTGCTGTGGACGGTAGCGGTACTTTGTGATCCGTGTTTGTGATGTCAGCATAGACCAAATTGTCAAATTTCGTTTTCTAACTGATGAATGAAAGCGTAAATCATCTACCCGGTGACTCCACTTGATGAATGAATTAGATTGAATTAATAAGCGAATAAAAATTGCGCTTCATATAGAGTGGGCGGATCTGATCATGAAGTCTTTGTCGAAACAACTGTGATAGAGGTTATTAAAAGCTTGTGATTAAAATGGATACTATACGCGAATCAACAACCGTAGCCGACACAGGTATGTTAGAAGATGTATTACCTTCACTCAGTACATTTTAGACGTTCATTTATTTATTTTTATTCGAAACAGGCACTTCCATTAATTCTGATCCCTACACCCGACCAGAGAGAGCTGAATCAATTCCTCTGAAAGGTGCTCCTTCATCTTCATCAAGTTTTATAACACGTTTCTGTCAGAACTGTATGGGCTTTGCTGACGATGATGCAGGTGATGGGCTCAAGTTTATTATTGTAACTTTCTTCATTTTATCCGTGGCTGTGACAGTCGCCCTAGTGGCACAAATCTATCAAGGAGACTTTCAAGTAAGTGTTGTGTATAGTAACACTTATTTTCATTTCATTAATTTCTTTAGGTGTCTAAAACCAAGTGATTTGTGTTTTACATTGATAGGTTGTTCCCCATGGTAGTGTAGCTTCTGACAGTAAGGACTGCGCCTTAATTGGAACTGATGTTTTGAAAAAAGGTGGAAATGCTGTTGATGCTGCTGTTGCTACCACATTTTGTATGGGTGTTGTTAATCCTCATATTACTGGTCTTGGAGGGTATGTAAATTAAGATTGATTCTTTAATCTCAATTTCATTTACTCTGCACCTGTGCCTTGTGTTCATGAATATTCTAATATTTTTGAGGGTTCGCAGGGGAGGTTTCATACTGGTCTATGACCACAGGAGGCAGGAGGTTTTGGAATCTCTAGATTTTCGAGAAGCAGCTCCTCAGGCCTTGTCCACCGTTTCCCCTGAGATGATTGGTCCCTATTCTGTTGGGGTTCCTGGTCTTGTTAGTGGGCTTTTTGCTGCCCATAAAGCTCATGGGAAACTTAGCTGGCAAGAGGTTGTAAGACCTGCAGCCAATCTTGCCAAGTGAGTTTGTCAAGTTTTTGCTAGATCTTATTTAAATATCCAAATATATCAATCTAAAATTTGTGAATGTTTTGTAAGGAGTGGGTTTTTAGTGCCAAGTAGCCTGGTAACAGCAAAAGCTCACTTAAATCTCCGTAGTGAAAGTAATGCCAGGCTACATGATCTGGTGGATACACTTGAGGCAGGTCAAATCTTAAAACTGCCATCTTTAGCCTATTCTCTTGAGCTTATAGCAAGGGAAGGGCCAACTGGTAGGTAATGACAGGTGTTGAAGGGAACTTAATTGCCTCTTTGGTAGTGGTCTACTGCTTTTAAAGTACTAAATAAATTTTTGCATGTGGTGTACTGGGAGCACAATTTTGTATAAATTAGTAATTTTATCTTTAAGGATGGAGCTGACAGGTGATTGGAAGTTAAAAGTCTATTTGATGACCACCTGTCAAATCTATGTACATACTATTTTTGGTTCCTGCTTTTGTTCTAACATTGGAAAAAATTTGAAGCCATATATGTGGGATGAATGGATTGGTTCTTAAAAACATCTATGCAAGGTAACTTTCTTTTCATAACATAAGTAAACTTTTTGCAGCTTTTTTCTTTTGTGTTCCTATACTGCCTGTTTGTAATCTAATGTCCTCTGTTCTCCTTGATATTTTTAAAAGTGTTTTTGATTCATCGTCCGTTCTTTTAATTAAATGCTTCACTTACAGCCTTCTACAATGGAAGTATTGCTCTGGAAATTTTGTCTGCTGTGCAAGGCAGCTCTCTGACTGAAGCAGATCTATTCTCTTATCAACCATTGGCGAGAGAATCTCTTCATGAGAATTTTTATGGTTTTGATATAATTGTACCCGGAGCACCTTCTGGTGGACCTCTGCTGCTTGCCGCCCTTAAAAGTATTCAAGCTCTCAATCTTACAAATAATATTGGAGAAGAATCAACACCCTTGCTTCTGTTCCGACAGGCACAGGCCATTCAACAGAATTATGCTGCTTTTTATGCTGAGTCAGGTAGATCTTGAGAAATTCCTTTCTAGAATCTATTTACATCAGCAATATCTCTACTGAACTGTAGCCAAAATTTTCACATTTTAGGTGATCCAAATTTTAGTGCAGCATCCAATCCAAGTACAGCTACTTCTTCCCTACCAGAGACTGTTGCATCTCATGTAGCTGCTGTTGATCTTAATGACTTGTATGTCTCAGTTGTCAGGTATGAGTGGGCTCTTTAAGTTATAGCTGTAGGTTAAGTAGTGTTTTTTTTTGGTTGAAACTTGACTGTTTTTTAACTTTAATTTTCCAGTGGACACAATTCATTGTTTGGCTCCCAAATACTGACAGAGGGAGGTTTTGTACTCAATAATGCTTTGGCTAGCTTTGATGGTTTTACCTCTGGAACCAAAAAGAATTATGCTGGAGCTTCTTCTTTCACCAAGCCATCATCCATTACTAGCAACACTAACAACACTACAAAAGTAATCAATCTACCTGAAGATGATATTTTGTTGGATCACCATACTGAAGCAACAGAAGTGCCTCATTTAGATGCCTCTGTAGCTCTTCCCTTGGAGAAAAAGAATAGTTTTCACCAATTTGGGGAGAATCAGGAACCGTCTGTGGTTAAAAGGCATAAACGATTTGAAAACTCAGAATCTGAACCGAGGGCAACAGTGTGGGGCAGCAGTGTGGCAAACAATGAACTTGTTGGAGGAAAACGTCCCATTTCTCTTGCGGTACCAGTAGTTGCTATTGAGAGTGGTCATATCTGTGGCCGTCGACTTGTCCTAGGTCAGTATACCTTTCTCATGTACTCTTTCAAAAATTCTGTAATCTAAATCTTATGATTATTTCTAGGTGGAAGTGATGCAAGCATAGTTGCCCAAGTTTTATCCCAACTCCTGGTTTTGGATGGCAATTTTATTTCAAGCATTGAATCACCAAGGGTGCAGTTAAGTGTGTCTGGTTCAAACTTTTCATTAGAGCAGTCATATGCTACAAGCTTAAGTCCTGTCAGGCGTCAGCAACTTGTAGATCTTGGTTTGCATATGCAATCAGCTACTGTATTGAATCCTAGTGTGAATATAGTGGAGAAAGCAGGAGATGTATTGAATTCTCATTCTGACTCTCGCGGAGATGGTGTAGCAAGTAGATTTTGACCAAAGAACTTAACTCATCTTACTCTTTTTCTGGGAATGTAAGGAGCTTTGTTCTTTATAAAGGGTCCAATTGCCTAAATTTTGTGCTGTTTAAAATCTTTCCCAACAATGTGTAATTTGCTTTTGGAATGGGTATTAATTATTAAATCACTAGATGAAAACATCTTGGTAAGTTGAAAGCAAGACTGTACATAAACTAGAATAAAATAAGTGTTTTTGGCTAGTAGCATAACATCATTTTTGATAAGAGATATATTTCATGTTTGTACGTAACTTGTTAATACATTATTTATTTAATTATTTATATCTGTTACAAATTTGACTTCCCTAAGATCTTTCACTCACACAAAAAGATGTTGGAAAGTAAAGCAAACTGTCTATTCAAAACTGGGCTTGCTAGTGTATCATTCCTCAGCGAAAGTTGAAAAGCGAAGCTAATAATAAAAGCAAGCAAGTGGCTCATAGAGCTGTCTTGACAACAAATTTAGAGAGAGAATCATTGATATATTTTTTTTGTCTAGTCTTTTGCGATACCAATCTATTTTCTCTATCTTTAGTGTCAATGCATCTAAGCGCGTCTCGGACATTGGGTGTTTTTTTTGTGTTTTTTTTCCATCTTTACCCCGAGAAGGAGCTTTTTCACGACTTCTGCGCCCAGAAAATTAAAAACAAGTTGCCAGAAATAGTAAAATACACACTTTTATGGTTTAACTT